GCCGTGAAGGTTCTCTGTACATTTTCTAGGTCAGCAATTTCACCTGCCTTGAAAGGTGCTGTTAGTGTGCAGCAATACTATTCCAGCCTAGATAGAAAAAGTGACCTGAAGAGTGTCATCATGGGCTTGGCCTCCCTAGTTTTGAAGGTTCTCATTATCCATCCTGTCATTTTTCTAGTAGATGCGATTGATACAATGTTATGGTCCTTGAAGGTGAGATCCTCCGACATGATCACTCCCAGGTCTTTGACGTTGGTGTTTCGCTCTATTTTGTGGCCAGAATTTGTTTTGTACTCTGATGAAGATTTAATTTCCTCGTGTTTACCATATCTGAGTAATTGAAATTTCTCATCGTTGAACTTCATATTGTTTTCTGCAGCCCACTGAAAGATTTGGTTGATGTCCGCCTGGAGCCTTGCAGTGTCTGCAATGGAAGACACTGTCATGCACATTCGGGTGTCATCTGCAAAGGAAGACACGGTGCTGTGGCTGACATCCTTGTCTATGTCGGATATGAGGATGAGGAACAAGATGGGAGCGAGTACTGTGCCTTGTGGAACAGAGCTTTTCACCGTAGCTGGCTCGGACTTTACTCTGTTGACGACTACTCTCTGTGTTCTGCTAGTGAGGAAATTATAGATCCATCGACCGACTTTTCCTGTTATTCCTTTCGCACGCATTTTGTGCGCTATTACACCATGGTCACACTTGTCGAAGGCTTTTGCAAAGTCTGTATATATTACATCTGCATTCTTTTTATCTTCTAGTGCATTTAGGACCTTCTCATAGTGATCCAATAGTTGAGACAGACAGGAGCGACCTGTTCTAAACCCATGTTGCCCTGGGTTGTGTAACTGATGGGTTTCTAGATGGGTGGTGATCTTGCTTCTTAGGACCCTTTCAAAGATTTTTATGATATGGGATGTTAGTGCTATCGGTCTGTAGTTCTTTGCTGTTGCTTTACTGCCCCCTTTGTGGAGTGGGGCTGTGTCTGTTGTTTTTAGTAACTGTGGGACGACCCCCGTGTCCATGCTCCCTCTCCATAGGATGGAAAAGGCTCGTGATAGGGGCTTCTTGCAGTTCTTGATGAACACAGAGTTCCATGAGTCTGGCCCTGGGGCAGAGTGCATGGGCATGTCATTTATCGCTTGTTCGAAGTCATTTGGCGTCAGGATAACATCGGATAGGCTTGTGTTAACCAAATTTTGTGGCTCTCTCATAAAAAATTCATTTTGATCTTCGACTCTCAGTCAGGTTAGCAGCTTGCTAAAAACTGAGTCATATTGGGACTTGAGTAGCTCACTCATTTCCTTGCTGTCATCTGTGTAGGACCCATCTTGTTTAAGTAGGGGCCCAATACTGGATGTTGTTCTCGACTTTGATTTGGCATAGGAGAAGAAATACTTTGGGTTTCTTTCGATTTCATTTATGGCTTTTAGTTCTTCCCGCGATTCCTGACTCCTATAAGATTCCTTTAGCTTGAGTTCGATGCTTGCTATTTCTCTGACCAGTGTCTCCCTACGCATTTCAGATATATTGACCTCTTTTAGCCGCTCTGTTATTCTTTTCCGTTGCCTGTAAAGGGAGCGCCTGTCTCTTTCTATTTTACATCTACTCCTCCTTTTTCTTAGAGGAATAAGCCTTGTGCATACATCGAGTGCCACCAAGTTAATCTGTTCTAGGCATACGTTGGGGTCTGTGTTGCTTAGTATATCTTCCCAGCTTATATCGGTTAGGACTTGGTTTACTTGGTCCCACTTTATGTTTTTGTTATTGAAGTTGAATTTGGTGAATGCTCCCTCGTGACTAGTCTCATTATGTCGGTCTGGGGCTCCACGCATACATGTTTGAACCTCAATTATGTTGTGATCTGAGTATATTGTTTTTGATATGGTGACATTTCTTATCAGATCATCATTGTTAGTGAAGATGAGGTCTTGTGTATTCTCCAGTCTAGTAGGCTCTATTATTTGCTGGTTTAAATTGAATTTTGTGCAGAGATTTAAAAGCTCGTGTGAGTGTGAGTTTTCATCAGAGCTGCCTCCTGGTGTTGTTACTGCAACAATATTATTTGCTATATTCCTCCATTTTAGGTGCCTTAAGTTGAAATCCCCCAGGAGCAAGATGTTGGGTGCAGGAGCTGGAAGATTTTCCAGACAGTGGTCAATTTTTAACAGCTGTTCCTGGAATTGCTGGGATGTTGCATCCGGAGGCTTGTAGACTACCACAATGACTAGGTTTTGGTTCTCTTTTTAACTTTAGTAATATATACAGGAGAAGGGGTTACTGGCCCCTTGCTCCTGGCATTTTAGTCACCTCTTATGACACACATAGCTTACGGAGGAAGAATTCTGTTCCACTTCCCATGGAGAATAAATGAAAATGTGTGAAATTACTGTCAACATTTTCAGCAGGTGCATTATCAAATATCAAGACCAGCCACAACTTTTGAGAGGCTTTTTTTAGTGTAGATGCTTCCACCTGCAGGAATTTCAAGTTCCCGCTCGTAATTTTGTCCAGACTAAAGGTGGTGTCGGACCATCTGCTGTCAGATAATTGGTGGTGTACCTGTACTTGCATTCTTGCATTCTGGGTGGACAATGTCTTGGCTGATCTGGATGATACATTCTTGTGCAAGTTTGTGGTGACTCAGAAATGCTTCATGATTCTTTGGTTGTCATGATTTTTTTTGCCCATTGGGAAGATTTCTGTTAGTGAGAAAGGGTTCCAGGTAGTGTTTCCTAATATGTGATAGAAATGTGTGTGCTATATCAAGGCAGATAATCCATGAATCATCATTGCTTTTTGGAGGAAAGCCAGTTCCAGTCAATGTAAAGCAGGGGTCAGAGGTACCAGAAGGAATAGCTGGAATGCCAGTACAGAGTCTGGGCAACAAGTGGTTGCTGGAAAGCAGTTCCGGGTTCTGAGGAGTGTCCATATCTATTTGGTGGTTCATAGAGGGTGTTGCAGTCACTTTGGATCCAGAAGTAAAAGGAAATACCTTGTTTATCATAAAATAAAAAATGAGGGAGGAGCTCTGAGAATAAGAAAAAGAAACCATGTACATACTCTGAACTATAATTGTCCCCACTGTTGTTGTTGTTCCCTGAAAGTGATCTTTTACCCCACCTACTGAACACCACCAGTATGACATCTCCACAACTGAATGAACAAGGCTTAGCTAGATTGCCTGTTTATGAAAGATTATAAACCATGCAAGAAGTGACTAAAATGTTAGGAGCAAGGGGCTAGTAACCTTGTCTCCTGTATAAATTACTAAGTGTAAAAAGAAAAACTTTTTTTTCTTTCTAGGTCACTGTCTTAGTGGGAGACAGCCAGTGTGTTAAAAAAAAAAAAAACTGTGGAACTGTCTTGCAGCTAGTAATGATGGTGGATGAACTGGCAAGACTGCCTCAAGGCATACACCTTTAGTTACTACTGAATCCTCAGATAACCTCTAGTGGTACTTCCATCATCTGAGGTCCTGCCAGATGACCACTCAGTTCTGAGGTCCTGCCAGATGACCACTCAGTTCTGAGGTCCTGCCAGATGACCACTCAGTTCTGAGGTCCTGCCAGATGACCACTCACTTCTGAGGTCCTGCCAGATGACTACTCTGTCTCACAGAAGAGTCACATTGCATACCCTAAGATGATCCAATTTCTGTCAGGTGGAGTGACCCAACCACCATGACACTACCAATGGGAACTACAGTAGAAAAGTGCTAACAGATTTCTTTCTGTCTTCTGTCTAAAGCTGGACTTCACAAAAGGTAAAGTATCCTCACTGAGACCAAAAAGAGAGGAAAGGTTGGCATATTTAAATTTGACCCATAAAGTGTAGAGGTCCAATTTCTTGGATCAAGAGCCACTTTGTCACAACAAGGGACCCCATCTGAAGGGTTGGCAACTGGTGGGAAAAGGGCTGGTAGGCCTCATGCAAAGCACTGTTATGGCTGTCAAGTGACTAGATTGGAGGATGAAATTTAGGATTTTATAGCAAATACAATGGAACCTCGGTGTTTGAGCTTAATTGGTTCCTAAGTGGCGTTCAAACTGCGAAAAGTTTGATGTCCAGAAGAGTAACTCCCAGGCATTATCAACCACACACACTACAGGATGTTGAACTGACTCTTCCAAAAGTCTCTGAGAGTCAGGTCAGTAACATAGGTCACTACAAAGTACTTTTGAAACAGGTCTTTCTTGTAAATTTTTTTTACAACTAAATTTTTCACGTCAGAGCATTCAGAGTCCAAAAAAACCTTCAAAGACTGGGTCAGTTTTTTCTGAACAAAACTGTGTAGTGATAACATGTGGTTTTAATTGTCCTTATGACAAAATTAATGTAGGTTCAGTAATCATTACTTTATCAGAACATGGCAGTGGGGTGTACAGTAAATAAGACTTGCATAAGCCAGTAGGCCTACTGCAGTATTCCTATGTTTTTTAATCTTTACCTAAACACCCTCTGCAGAATCTAGTATTTGTTTATAAAGTTATATGTGAAAATCTACAAGTTCTAGTGGTATTAACAATAACATTAAATATCTTATAATAGGAATCTTGTGCACAAACCTACCTTATTAAATAAATTGATTATAATTTTGTATACTGGATCTTTATTAATATAAAGTTTTATATACTATAAAATAATATGTATATAAACCATACCACGGGCAGGGATAGAACCCGTGGTATGGTTTGTTTGCAATCGTGTCATTATGATTTTGAGAGTCACGTATATAAACACCTGTTTAGTACTTCATGCTTATAACGAACCAATGCTGGTTTTAAGAATGCTTTTTTATGATGCACTAGACATTATGAAGTTTGTGCATATTGAATGCATTACTAAATTTACATCTATCTGATTTTTTTTTTTTTGTGTTTTTTTCAACAAGTCGGCCGTCTCCCACAATATTAGTTAATAATATTGTAGTTAGAGCAAAGAGCAAGAAGAAGATAAAACACAAAAATGGTGACAGTCAATAAAAAGACAAATTAAAGTGACTGATTTATTAAAATATAATGGAATGCATCACTAAATTAACATGATCAGATCAATAGTTAATAATACTGTAGCTAGAGTAAAGAGTAAAGAGCAAGAGAAAGATGGAATACAAAAATGGTAACAGTCAATAAGGAGAAATTAGTGACTGAATTATATTAATAAAATCATGGAAAGTGGTGAACTCACAAGGATGATAACAGAGGTCACAAAGACAGTGGGCAGAAGGGTAGAAGAGATGGATGTAGTGAAGGAAGAATATCCGCAGGAAAGACTGGAGTCACAGCTCATGTAGCAAATCAGTGTCAATTGAGAAATAGTGTTTCAGGAGTGCCTCTATAAGTTTTATACAGGAGGGGCTTGGGGTGGCAATCTAAATGGAAGAGGGTGCTAGGAGGCTTGCCTTGAAGCTTTATTATTTTTAGTATTAGTATTATTTCTATTATTATTATTATTATACTTCTATTATTATTATTATTTTATTATTTGGGGCTTTGGGAGAGCTACTGGAATTTTTATATAGAGGTGCTGTAGCCCCTTGCCCCTTATGGTGCCACCACTATTAAATCTGCAATAAAGGGGGAACTGTGAGAGAAAAATTCAGACAAAGAATGCTCACCAGGCAACCAAAGGTGACTGAAAACAATGAATTCAAGAAAATTATTGCCGAATGACAGAAAAATTATTGGGAAAGTTTGCTAGAATGAGAGAAAATGATGAGGAAATCAAAAAGATGAACTTAAGAATGTAGTGTCAGCATATGCAGCAAAGATATGCAATTATAGGATAGGTGCAGGAAGGAAGAGAAATGATTAGTGAATAATGAGGCAAAAATTATGTCAGTATGCTTTAAATGCAGAAAAATGACTTGTGAAAAAATTGTCAGTACACTTTATTACAAAGGGCTTCTAAAACAACTGTCAGTATGCTTTACTACAGACAAAGAACTTGTAAAACAACTATCAGTACACTTTACTACAGACAAAGGGCTTATAAAACAATTGTCAGTATACTTTACTACAGACAAAGAGCTTGTAAAACAATTGTCAGTATGCTTTACTACAGACAAAGAGCTTGTAAAACAATTGTCAGTATGCTTTACTACAGACAAAGAGCTTGTAAAACAATTGTCAGTATGCTTTACTACAGACAAAGAGCTTGTAAAACAATTGTCAGTATGCTTTACTACAGACAAAGAGCTTGTAAAACAATTGTCAGTATGCTTTACTACAGACAAAGAGCTTGTAAAACAATTGTCAGTATGCTTTACTACAGACAAAGAGCTTGTAAAACAATTGTCAGTATACTTTACTACAGATCAATGGCTTGTAAAACAATTGTCAGTATGCTTTACTACAGACGAAGAGCTTGTAAAACAATTGTCAGTATGCTTTACTACAGACGAAGAGCTTGTAAAACAATTGTCAGTATACTTTACTACAGACAAAGAGCTTGTAAAACAATTGTCAGTATGCTTTACTACAGACAAAGAGCTTGTAAAACAATTGTCAGTATGCTTTACTACAGACAAAGAGCTTGTAAAACAATTGTCAGTATACTTTACTACAGATCAATGGCTTGTAAAACAATTGTCAGTATGCTTTACTACAGACGAAGAGCTTGTAAAACAATTGTCAGTATGCTTTACTACAGACGAAGAGCTTGTAAAACAATTGTCAGTATGCTTTACTACAGACGAAGAGCTTGTAAAACAATTGTCAGTATGCTTTACTACAGATCAATGGCTTGTAAAACAATTGTCAGTATGCTTTAAATGCAGGAACTGACTCATAAAAAAAATTCAGAAAATATAAAAAAATTATAAATTAAAAAATATACCATAACTACTGATGATCCAGGAAAAATTTGCACAAATCAGATATAGGCAATGAAATCATTAACAGATTACACAAATCACATAGAAGCATTAAGGAATTCTTCTAATTGTTCTTCGGTAATATTCTCAAATTCCTCACATTCTTCTTCTTCTTCTGGGTCGTAATTGACATTATTTACCTGCAACACAAGAGAGAAATACATGAATAATACGTTTTAATATAACAATCAGTATGTATACATTGTAAAATGGGCTGTAATTAAAATAAATATTAATTATATGGTTGTCTTCATGGGAGAGTGGGAAAGAATTCTTCCTCTGTAAGCCATGCGTGTCATAAGGGGCGACTAAAATGCTGGGAGCAAGGGGCTAGTAACCCCTTCTCCTATGTAAATTACTAAATTTAAAAAGAAAAACTTTTGTTTTTCTCTTTAGGTCACCCTGCTTTGGTGGGATACAGCCGGTTCATTGAAAAATAAATATGGTTGTATAGAGAAAACCTAGAATTTAAAATTGCATTACAAGATGCATACACTTACATATCTACCTGGTTGTATCAAGGGGAAGGGGGCTGAAGCCATCATAATTTAATCAGCCCCCCCCCAAAAAAAAATTAAAGGCAGAAATTTGAAAGTGAACATAGTAAGGTGTTGAGGGTATCAAACTATTTAGATAAAGAAAAATTGGATATCACATTGGAGGGAGGGAGTATGGAAACAGTGAAGGTTTTCAGAAGTTTGGGAGATGACTTGTCAGTGGATGGGTTTATGAAGGATGAGGTTAACCATAGAATTGATGAATAAAAAAAGGTGAGTGGTGCATTGAGGTATTTGTGGAGACAAAGAACATTATCCATGGAGGCAAAGATGAGGAATGAATGAGAGTATAGTGGTACCAACACTCTTATATAGGTGTGAAGTATGGGTTGTAAGTGCTGCAGCAAGGAGGCGGCTGGAGGCAGTGGAGATGTCGTATCTAAGGGCAATGTGTGGTGTAAATTTTATGCAGAGAATTCATAGTGTGGAAATTAGAAGGTGGTGTGGAGTTACTAAAAGTATTAGTCAGAGGGGTGAAAAGAGGCTGTTGAGGTGGTTTGGTTATTTAGAGAGAATGAAACAGTGTATAAATCTGTAGGGGAAGGAAGGTGGGGTAGGGGTCATCCCTGAAAAGGCTGGAAGGAGGGGGTAAACAAGATTTTGTGGGCGAGGGGCTTGGACTTCCAGCAAGCATGCATGAGCGTGTTAGATAGGAGTGAACGGAGACGAATGGTTTTTGGGACCTGACAAGCTGCAGGAGTGTGAGCAGGGTAATATTTTGTGAAGGGATTCAGGGAAACCAGTTAGCTGGACCTGAGTCCTGGAAATGGAAGTACAAATGCCTGCACTTTAAAGGAGAGGTTTGGGATATTGGCAGTTTGGAGGGATGTCTAAACTGTCATATCTGAGCACCTCTGCAAAGACAGTGATTTTGTATGAGTGTTGGTGAAAGTGTTGAATGAAAGTTTTTCTTTCTTCTTGGGCCACCCTGCCTCGGTGGGAAACAGCCAACGCGTTAAGAAAAATAATAATAATAATAGTAATAATAATAATTATTTTACCTTGATAAGAGATTCGTCCCAAGCTGGATGATATTTTATGGGATCGCATTGTGTTGTGTCAACTTCTATTGTCACCTTACCATTCTTTAGTCGGATTATAATGAATTTGGAGAATGCTGCTTTCAGTGCTGAATGATATGCAAATCTGAAAAAGATTGACTACAATACAGTAAGCTATTATAAATGAAATTTGTATTTCTTCTAATCTTCATCTTTTAATAAACTTTTTTTAAATACACCAGCCATCTCCCACTGAGGTAGAGTGACCTGAAAAAAAAGAAACACTTTCACCGCCAATCACTTCATTACTGTCTTGCCAGAGGTGTGCCAATATTACTGTTCAAATACTCCTCCAAACTGCAATATCCCCTGAATCTCTTCATAAATGTTACCTTGCTCACACTCCAACAGCACATTAAATCATTAAAACCACTTGCCTCCACTCCTGTCCAACATGCTCAGACATGCTTGTTGGTTGTCCAAGCCCCTTGCATACAAAACCTCCTTTACCCCCTCCCTCCAGCCTTTCCTGGGATGACCTCTCCCTCCCCCTTACATCTGGCTTTTCCTCATTTTTTAAAAACCAAGAGTTGTGGCACTCAAAGAAAAAAAAAGTTGCATGACAATGATGGGAAATAAATACTGACAGATTGTATTATAAAGAGCATTAGTTTAAAAAACTTTAAAAAATGACAAAGTTTTCTGGAAAAGTCTGTTACACAGGCAAAAGTTGTTATTAGAGTTTCCACTTCGTGGAAATAGGCATAGACTACTCAGCTTCATTTCTATACTCAGAATAAAAACACACCACAGGAAATTAATTTTCAATTATTTAAGTAGCATATAATCTCTTGAGTTCTGAGGTGGAAAGTACAGCGCCTGCACTCTGAAGGAGGGGTGGAAATATTTGCAGTCTGGAGTGACATCTGAGCTGTAGCATCTATATGCCTCTGGGAAGAGTGATAGAGTAAATGATGGTGAAAGTGATTCTTTTTTGGGTCAAACTGCCTAAGTGGAAGAAGGCCAATGTGTTAAAAAAATAATCACAAGAATGATATAAGAGTGGTTGTTTACCTCCTTGCACAGCAAAATGCATATCCCCGTGACACTGGAGAGGCATTATTCAACGGGACCTCTCCAGTCCCCACTCCTTCACTGCAGAGCTCCTCTTTTGGCAATTTTATGTGCACCATGCATATATATCGCACAACATTAGGCACATTAACCTCCTCCTCCCTCTCCAACTAAAAAAGGAGAAATACATATGCAGTACTGAATGCTTAAAAAATATATACCCTCAATGATGTCAATGAGGACCCCACAAAACAAAGAATACTAACACTGGTGGCGCCTCAAATTAAAACTAGACAAGCATCATCAGTATACAAAACACAGAGCACATATTTACACTCTAACCTATCATGGCAATATGGCTAAGCCTTCATTTTTTGGATATGAAATGATCCACTCTGTTCATGTCATAACTTGAAATATGTGATATTTGCTCCAAAAATAAGAGGTTTGAACTCAACAAGGATAAAATAATGTAAAGTACAATATATTAAAACTGTAACATACCAATTGTCCAGCTCTTATTTGGGCAGCCATCATTTACAGAACGGTTTTTCCGTGGCTGAATGCAATATATATCCCACTTAACCTAACAGTCTAGAATGTAACTGAGAAATAATACTATATATGTATAAGGGAATACACATTCTACACTCAAATTCTGAAATACTGTACTAGATATTATTAGCATTACTTTGGGTTCTTCAAATTATTTTTAATACAGTAAACCCTCTTATAATGCAACATTACATAATGCAATTTCATGTAAACACAACTAAAAAAGTGCATCCAAAATTTCATAACACACTATAAAACTTGATATTATATACTGTAAAGCAAGAAAACGTCAAGTTACATGCAAAATCTGGGTATGGGGTGACATGAAATTTTTGCCCTCAACCCAAGGTGGGCCTAAGGATCAAGTGTTTGGGAAAACACAGTTTCTCCCCTTCCCCACTGTAATCCATGCTACTTATAATTCATTTCTGAGAGCACTGGAGCATTGATTGCCTTACACACACTGTGTTTATCAAGGGGTACCACTCGCACGATAAGAGACAACACAATAAGTGTCAGGGGCCCCAAGACTGTTCAGCTGCCTCCCAGCATACATAAGGGGATATTACCAATAGACCCTTGGTTGTCTTCGAGAAGGTGCTGGACAGGCACCTAAGTCAGTACCTGACCAGCCGGGCTGTGGTTCATATGTCGGATTGCGTGCTGCCCTAATCCACCATAAGGCTTGGTCACAGACCAGGCCGCAGGGGCGTTGACCCCCGAAACCCTCTCCAGGTGTACCCCCAGGTATAGAAGAATAATGCTGAAGTACGGTAGGGTTATTATTGAAAGAATTAGAGGTAAGACAGAATGTAGAATTGCGGATGAGCAAGGAGGTTATAGAGTGGGAAGGGGATGTGTAGATCAAGCGTTTACATTGAAGCATATATGTATGTGAACAATATTTAGATAAAGGTAGGGAAGTTTTTATTGCATTTATGGATTTAGAAAAAGCATATGATAGAGTGGATAGGAGAGCAATGTGGCAGATGTTGCAAGTACAGTGGACCCCCGGTTAACGAACTTTTTTCATTCCAGTAGTATGTTCAGGTGCCAGTACTGACCGAATTTTTTCCCATAAGGAATATTGTGAAGTAGATTAGTCCATTTCAGACCCCCAAACATACACGTACAAACGCACTTACATAAATACACTTACATAATTGGTCGCATTTGGAGGTGATCGTTAAGCGGGGGTCCACTGTATATGGAATAGATGGTAAGTTACTAAATGCTGTAAAGAGTTTTTATGAGGATAGTGAGGCTCAGGTTAGGGTGTGTAGAAGAGAGGGAGAATACTTCCCGGTAAAAGTAGGTCTTAGACAGGGATGTGTAATGTCACCATGGTTGTTTAATATATTTATAGATGGGATTGTAAAAGAAGTAAATGCTAGGGTGTTCAGGAAAGGGGTGGGATTAATTTATGGGGAATTAAATACAAAATGGGAAGTGACACAGTTACTTTTTGCTGATGATACTGTGCTTATGGGAGATTCTAAAGAAAAATTGCAAAGGTTAGTGGACGAATCTGGGAGTGTATGTAAAGGTAGAAAGTTGAAAGTGAACATAGAAAAGAGTAAGGTGATGAGGGTTTCAAATGATTTAGATAAAGAAAAAATGGATATCAAATTGGGGAAGAGAAGTATTGAAGAAGTGTTTGTTTTCAGATATTTGGGAGTTGACGTGTCAGCGGATGGATTTATGAAGGATGAGGTTAATCATAGAATTGATGAAGGAAAAAAGGTGAGTGGTGCATTGAGGTATATGTGGAGGCAAAAAATGTTATCTATGGAGGTAAAGAAGGGAATGTATGAAAGTATAGTAGTATCAACACTCTTATATGGGTGTGAAGCTTGGGTTGTAAATGCTGCAGCGAGGAGGTGGTTGGAGGCAGTGGAGATGTCCTGTCTAAGGGCAATGTGTGGTGTAAATATTATGCAGACAATTCGGAGTGTGGAAATTTGGAGAAGGTGTGGAGTTAATAAAAGTATTAGTCAGAGGGCTGAAGAGGGTTTGTTGAGGTGGTTTGGTCATTTAGAGAGAATGGATCAAAGTAGAATGCCATGGAGAGCTTATAAATCTGTAGGGGAAGGAAGGCGGGGCAGGGGTCGTCCTCGAAAAGGTTGGAGGGAGGGGGTAAAGGAGGTGTTGTCGGCGAGGGGTCTGGACTTCCAGCAAGCGTGCTTGAGCATGTTAGATAGGAGTGAATGGAGACGAATGGTATTTGGGACCTGACGAGCTGCTGGAGTGTGAGCAGGGTAATATTTAGTGAAGGGATTCAGGGAAACCGGTTATTTTATATAATCGGACTCGAGTCCTGGAAATGGAAAGTACAATGCCTGCACTCTAAAGGAGGGGTTTGGGATATTGGCAGTTTGGAGGAATATATTGTGTATTTTTATACGTATATACAGTACATGTACTTCTAAACTGTTGTATTCTGGGCACCTCTGCAAAAACAGTGATTATGTGTGAGTGAGGTGAAAGCATTGAATGATGATGAAAGTATTTTCTTTTTGGGTATTTTCTTTCTTTTTGGGTCACCCTGCCTCAGTGGGAGACGGCCGACTTGTTGAAAAAAAAAAAAATGTGATCTCAGTTGGTTTTAGAGTGGAAGTAGCTTGAAATAGGAATCAAAATGGTGGAAATATTAGGTTTTTGACAATTTTTCTGAGGAAGGGTATTCTCCTCCCCTCCAGTCTGCTTTATGGGTTTTTACAAGGTCTGCATCAATTATTGGGATAACCTAAACCATGATCATTCTTGGTTATATTTTATTATCTGAGAAATAGGGGAAAATTTCTTTCTGTGATGGTGGATTCAAAATGTGTAAACCCACTCCACAAGAAGCAACTAGTCTATTACTTTCTGCTGTCCAATACACTCAGCTTTGCACTCTATAGTAGGTAAATGAACCACAAATACGTACTATACTTACATATATAACTTTGGATGTCCAGCAATTAAATCCAAAGTAATGAGTAAGCAAATTTTGGGCTTTGTGAACGGAAAGAAATATTCTCTTATGAGGCCTATTATTTTTTTTCTTTATTATTTTAATTTCCTTCTCTCCAATTTTTATCTTGCCATCAGAATGCAGTGCTCTTTCAAAATCCCACGTTGAGTAGAAAGAAACATAACCATACCATAGGTTGTCACTGAAAGTAGATATTTTTTTACATTAAATACATATATACATTACAACTAGCCCTCCACTTTCGCGAGCTTCGAACATTCATGAATGCCCATAATCATAACATGTATATACAATATTTTACGATGTTTTCATGTGTTTTATGATTGTTCGTGGTTCAATAGGTAAAGGAAACAGTATTGTTAAGCTAAGTAAATGCTATTATATTTCCTTACAATATATTTGCGCATCAAAATATTCGCGAATGCTACAGTAGAGTATTATTATATTTCCGTACAACATATTTGCACACCAAACATTCGCAAATTTTCAAGATTCACAAGGTTCTTGATCCCCTAACCCTCGCGACTGTGGAGGGCCTCCTGTACATAATGTGCTCAATAATAACCCACAGAGACAGACACTCAAGAGAATAATTGATTTGAATATTTTAACCTCCCTTCTGGGATCCTTTTCAGGAGAAGGTGATTGAAATATACAGATCAATCTCCTGACTTTGTCTCAGTGAGGGTTATTATTGAGCAGTGACAAGTGCTCATTACATTTTTGTTATTCATTACATATTATAATATACAGTGCAGAACACTCAAATACAATATCAAGCATAAAAAAAAAAAAGACTGGTGTGTTTCAGCTGGAGTTCATTACAGATGACATTCTTTGCTTATAGATGAAATGGTTTCACAAAAGTATAATGGCATACTGGGAACCAATGTTGTACCCAACTTCTTTTTTCACTGGCTATCTCAACAGGAAAAAAAATGGTCATAAATAAGGGGATGAGTAATTCAGGAAGTTATAAGTCAGAGGTCACCTGTGCTTATGTTCCCCTCATAGCTATAAGTCAATAGTTTATTTGTATGAATATAACCCAAGAGAAAGTGGATGATTTTACATAATAATGCATGATTTCATGAAAATAAATACATTCAGATGACTGTATAAACAAAAACTTACGTTTCTACTTCATTTATGAAGCTAAGTCTACTCCGGTAAACAGACGCTCGATGTATCAGACCAAATCGTGTAAACTTTTCCTCCAATTCATTCTGAAAGCACAGCTATGTTTAGCATAAGAATTTGCAATGGTGTGATATTCATTCAAAATACAGTAGTGAATATTAAATATTAATAATGATATTAACATGAGATTATTGTAATACATACACTGCTTTATTAACTGTAAGTTTATTCAGGTTAACACATATACAGTTACATAGATTATCATACATAGCAGCATATGTGTAAAGAACCTAGGATAACCCAAAATAGTCAGACAGTGACTTATTTCCATTGGGGTCTTTTTACCTTATTGTTATAATATAAAGGAGATAATATCTTATTATTACACTATAAAGGAGCTATACTTTTTTATAAGGGAAGATTATGTGTGTGTTAGCTAAAAAAAATGAAAAATCATTCTAATCCCTTTCTGTCATTACATTTATTAGGCACCTTTTGGCTCTTTTCTTGAACTGATTCATGCTATGACTGGCTTTCACATATGCAGGCAATCTGTTCCATTCCCTTACTGCTGTACAATAAAAGGTGTTTTAAGCCTAGCCACTGACTGTGGGTACTACAACGTTAGGTACACCATATCTTCTGGTAAACTTCCTCACAAACAGTAAATTCATATTACAGCTTTATCTTATTTTATCTCATCTTTCTCACTGTAGCTCCACAACTATTTTTTCTAGATCTTGTTAGTAAATTTATTTAGGTGGGGGGGGTTGAAGAGGGTTGGAATAGTTTTAAAAATGCAGTATTAGAATGTGGGGCAGAAGTTTGTGGTTATAGGAGGGTGGGGGCAGGAGGAAAGAGGAGTGATTGGTGGAATGATGAAGTAAAGGGTGTGATAAAAGAGAAAAAGGTAGCTTACGAGAGGTTTTTACAAAGCAGAAGTGTTATAAGAAGAGCAGAGTATATGGAGAGTAAAAGAAAGGTGAAGAGAGTGGTGAGAGAGTGCAAAAGGAGAGCAGATGAAAGAGTGGGAGAGGCACTGTCAAGAAATTTTAATGAAAATAAGAAAAAATTTTGGAGTGAGTTAAACAAGTTAAGAAAGCCTAGGGAAAGTATGGATTTGTCCATTAAAAACAGAGTAGGGGAGTTAGTAGATGGGAAGAGGGAGGTATTAGGTAGATGGCGAGAATATTTTGAGGAACTTTTTAATGTTGAGGAAGAAAGGGAGGCGGTAATTTCATGCACTGACAAGGGAGGCATACCATCTTTTAGGAGTGAAGAAGAGCAGAATGTAAGTGTGGTGGAGGTACGTGAGGCATTACGTAGAATGAAAGGGGGTAAAACAGCTGGAACTGATGGGATCATGACAGAAATGTTAAAAGCAGGGGGGGATATAGTGTTGGAGTGGTTGGTACTTTTGTTTAATAAATGTATGAAAGAGGGGAAGGTACCTAGGGATTGGCAGAGAGCATGTATAGTCCCTTTATATAAAGGGAAAGGGGACAAAAGAGATTGTAAAAATTATAGAGGAATAAGTTTACTGAGCATATCAGGAAAAGTATACGGTAGAGTTATAATTGAAAGAATTAGAGGTAAGACAGAATGTAGAATTGCGGATGAGCAAGGAGGCTTCAGAGTGGGTAGGGGATGTGTAGATCAAGTGTTTACATTGAAGCATATATGTGAACAGTATTTAGATAAAGGTAGGGAAGTTTTTATTGCATTTATGGATTTAGAAAAGGCATATGATAGAGTGGATAGAGGAGCAATGTGGCAGATGTTGCAAGTATATGGAATAGGTGGTAAGTTACTAAATGCTGTAAAGAGCTTTTATGAGGATAGTGAGGCTCAGGTTAGGGTGTGTAGAAGAGAGGGAGAATACTTCCCGGTAAAAGTAGGTCTTAGACAGGGTGTGTAATGTCACCATGGTTGTTTAATATATTTATAGATGGGGTTGTAAAAGAAGTAAATGCTAGGGTGTTCGGGAGAGGGGTGGGATTAAATTATGGGGAATCAAATTCAAAATGGGAATTGACACAGTTACTTTTTGCTGATGATACTGTGCTTATGGGAGATTCTAAAGAAAAATTGCAAAGGTTAGTGGATGAGTTTGAGAATGTGTGTAAAGGTAGAAAGTTGAAAGTGAACATAGAAAAGAGTAAGGTGATGAGGGTATCAAATGATTTAGATAAAGAAAAATTGGATATCAAATTGGGGAGGAGGAGTATGGAAGAAGTGAATGTTTTCAGATACTTGGGAGTTGACATGTCGGTGGATGGATTTATGAAGGATGAGGTTAATCATAGAATTGATGAGGGAAAAAGGGTGAGTGGTGCGTTGAGGTATATGTGGAGTCAAAAAACGTTATCTATGGAGGCAAAGAAGGGAATGTATGAAAGTATAGTAGTACCAACACTCTTATATGGATGTGAAGCTTGGGCGGTAAATGCAGCAGCGAGGAGACGGTTGGAGGCAGTGGAGATGTCCTGTCTAAGGGCAATGTATGGTGTAAATATTATGCAGAAAATTCGGAGTGTGGAAATTAGGAGAAGGTGTGGAGTTAATAAAAGCATTAGTCAGAGGGCAGAAGAGGGGTTGTTGAGGTGGTTTGGTCATTTAGAGAGAATGGATCAAAGTAGAATGACATGGAAAGCATATAAATCTATAGGGGAAGGAAAGAGGGGTAGGGGTCGTCCTCGAAAGGGTTGGAAAGAGGGGGTAAAGGAGGTTTTGTGGGCGAGGGGCTTGGACTTCCAGCAAGCGTGCATGAGCGTGTTAGATAGGAGTGAATGGAGACGAATGATACATGGGACCTGACGATCTGTTGGAGTTTGAGCAGGGTAATATTTAGTGAAGGGATTCAGGGAAACCGGTTATTTTCATATAGTCGGACTTGAGTCCTGGAAATGGGAAGTACAATGCCTGCACTTTAAAGGAGGGGTTTGGGATATTGGCAGTTTGGAGGGATATGTTGTGTATCTTTATACGTATATGCTTCTAAACTGTTGTATTCTGAGCACCTCTGCAAAAGCAGTGATAATGTGTGAGTGTGGTGAAAATGTTGAATGATGATGAAAGTATTTTCTTTTTGGGGATTTTCTTTCTTTTTTGGGTCACCCTGCCTCGGTGGGAGACGACCGACTTGTTGAAAAAAAAAAAAAAAATGAGTACACAAGTACAAAGTATAAATTACAAAGTATAAATTACAGGTAAAGGCCTGCTTATATGGGTTAGGTTTCAGGCTACTGTTGTAAAGTGAAAATTTCTGTAGTGAATCATAGCTTTTTCCACTTTCAAATTAGTATAAAAGCCTGATAATATATTTACACTGTCATATTGAGTGATATAGCTAGGCCTACAAAATACATACACAATACACACATTACTTACCTTAAAATATTTTCATCCTTAGCTTATAGTGAGTGGTGAATATATTTATTATAGGAAGTCTGAATAAATGAAGAATGGGTATAACTCAAAACCACTGTATTAACAAAATATTGTAAAGCAAAGTGCTGTAAAACAGGGCCCTCTTGTAACTAGGATAGTAAAAACAAAAGCATACAAAGTGACTTATTTCCATTGGGGTCCTTGCTGTTGTAAGGTTTTAATTAGTAATCAGGCTATCTCCCACCAAGGTAGGGCAAACCCCCCCCCCCCCCAAAAAAAAAAAAATAAATAAATAAATAAATTATCATCATTCATTCAATAGCTGTCTTGCAAGAAGTGGACAGACAACAAAATTCAAATGGCCTCTGCCCCAATCCTCCTTCAGGGTGCAAGAACTGCACATTCCACCCTCTCATTATTTTTAAAGATTAATGTCAGTGTAAGAAATACATGGATGTACCAAATCTTTGCTAATACGAAGATGCGAGCAACTCTAACCTCTAAATTTTCTTGAGAGTCATTCCACTTGATCCATGGCAAGTACAGCTGATGATCATCATCTTTCGGAGATTCAAAAGGTATCACCTCAATATCCTGAAATTTTGAAAATTCATAATTGAAATGATTAGTCTCCAGCAGTCCCAAGATTTTGTGGATATGCACAATGTTAAATTATAATTTTATTTTATTATCACACCGGCCGATTCCCACCAAGGCAGGGTGGCCCGAAAAAGAAAAACTTTCACCATCATTCACTCCATCACTGTCTTGCCAGAAGGGTGCTTTACACTACAGTTTTTAAACTGCAACATTAACACCCCTCCTTCAGAGTGCAGGCACTGTACTTCCCATCTCCAGGACTCAAGTCCGGCCTGCCGGTTTCCCTGAATCCCTTCATAAATGTTACTTTGCTCACACTCCAACAGCACGTCAAGTATTAAAAACCATTTGTCTCCATTCACTCCTATCAAACACGCTCACGCATGCCTGCTGGAAGTCCAAGCCCCTCGCACACAAAACCTCCTTTACCCCCTCCCTCCAACCCTTCCTAGGCCGACCCCTACCCCGCCTTCCTTCCACTACAGACTGATACACTCTTGAAGTCATTCTGTTTCGCTCCATTCTCTCTACATGTCCGAACCACCTCAACAACCCTTCCTCAGCCCTCTGGACAACAGTTTTGGTAATCCCGCACCTCCTCCTAACTTCCAAACTACGAATTCTCTGCATTATATTCACACCACACATTGCCCTCAGACATGACATCTCCACTGCCTCCAGCCTTCTCCTCGCTGCAACATTCATCACCCACGCTTCACACCCATATAAGAGCGTTGGTAAAACTATACTCTCATACATTCCCCTCTTTGCCTCCAAGGACAAAGTTCTTTGTCTCCACAGACTCCTAAGTGCACCACTCACTCTTTTTCCCTCATCAATTCTATGATTCACCTCATCTTTCATAGACCCATCCGCTGACACGTCCACTCCCAAATATCTGAATACGTTCACCTCCTCCATACTCTCTCCCTCCAATCTGATATTCAATCTTTCATCACCTAATCTTTTTGTTATCCTCATAACCTTACTCTTTCCTGTATTCACCTTTAATTTTCTTCTTTTGCACACCCTACCAAATTCATCCACCAATCTCTGCAACTTCTCTTCAGAATCTCCCAAGAGCACAGTGTCATCAGCAAAGAGCAGCTGTGACAACTCCCACTTTGTGTGTGATTCTTTATCTTTTAACTCCACGCCTCTTGCCAAGACCCTCGCATTTACTTCTCTTACAACCCCATCTATAAATATATTAAACAACCACGGTGACATCACACATCCTTGTCTAAGGCCTACTTTTACTGGGAAAAAATTTCCCTCTTTCCTACATACTCTAACTTGAGCCTCACTATCCTCGTAAAAACTCTTCACTGCTTTCAGTAACCTACCTCCTACACCATACACTTGCAACATCTGCCACATTGCCCCCCTATCCACCCTGTCATACGCCTTTTCCAAATCCATAAATGCCACAAAGACCTCTTTAGCCTTATCTAAATACTGTTCACTTATATGTTTCACTGTAAACACCTGGTCCACACACCCCCTACCTTTCCTAAAGCCTCCTTGTTCATCTGCTATCCTATTCTCCGTCTTACTCTTAATTCTTTCAATTATAACTCTACCATACACTTTACCAGGTACACTCAACAGACTTATCCCCCTATAATTTTTGCACTCTCTTTTATCCCCTTTGCCTTTATACAAAGGAACTATGCATGCTCTCTGCCAATCCCTAGGTACCTTACCCTCTTCCATACATTTATTAAATAATTGCACCAACCACTCCAAAACTATATCCCCACCTGCTTTTAACATTTCTATCTTTATCCCATCAATCCCGGCTGCCTTACCCCCTTTCATTTTACCTACTGCCTCACGAACTTCCCCCACACTCACAACTGGCTCTTCCTCACTCCTACAAGATGTTATTCCTCCTTGCCCTATACACGAAATCACAGCTTCCCTATCTTCATCAACATTTAACAATTCCTCAAAATATTCCTTCCATCTTCCCAATACCTCTAACTCTCCATTTAATAACTCTCCTCTCCTATTTTTAACTGACAAATCCATTTGTTCTCTAGGCTTTCTTAACTTGTTAATCTCACTCCAAAACTTTTTCTTATTTTCAACAAAATTTGTTGATAACATCTCACCCACTCTCTCATTTGCTCTCTTTTTACATTGCTTCACCACTCTCTTAACTTCTCTCTTTTTCTCCATATACTCTTCCCTCCTTGCATCACTTCTACTTTGTAAAAACTTCTCATATGCTAACTTTTTCTCCCTTACTACTCTCTTTACATCATCATTCCACCAATCGCTCCTCTTCCCTCCTGCACCCACTTTCCTGTAACCACAAACTTCTGCTGAACACTCTAACACTACATTTTTAAACCTACCCCATACCTCTTCGACCCCATTGCCTATGCTCTCATTAGCCCATCTATCCTCCAATAGCTGTTTATATCTTACCCTAACTGCCTCCTCTTTTAGTTTATAAACCTTCACCTCTCTCTTCCCTGATGCTTCTATTCTCCTTGTATCCCATCTACCTTTTACTCTCAGTGTAGCTACAACTAGAAAGTGATCTGATATATCTGTGGCCCCTCTATAAACATGTACATCCTGAAGTCTACTCAACAGTCTTTTATCTACCAATACATAATCCAACAAACTACTGTCATTTCGCCCTACATCATATCGTGTATACTTATTTATCCTCTTTTTCTTAAAATATGTATTACCTATAACTAAACCCCTTTCTATACAAAGTTCAATCAAAGGGCTCCCATTATCATTTACACCTGGCACCCCAAACTTACCTACCACACCCTCTCTAAAAGTTTCTCCTACTTTAGCATTCAAGTCCCCTACCACAATTACTCTCTCACTTGGTTCAAAGGCTCCTATACATTCACTTAACATCTCCCAAAATCTCTCTCTCTCCTCTGCATTCCTCTCTTCTCCAGGTGCATACACACTTATTATGACCCACTTCTCGCATCCAACCTTTACTTTAATCCACATAATTCTTGAATTTACACATTCATATTCTCTTTTCTCCTTCCATAACTGATCATTTAACATTACTGCTACCCCTTCCTTTGCTCTAACTCTCTCAGATACTCCAGATTTAATCCCATTTATTTCCCCCACTGAAACTCTCCTACCCCCTTCAGCTTTGTTTCGCTTAGGGCCAGGACATCCAACTTCTTTTCATTCATAACATCAGCAATCATCTGTTTCTTGTCATCCGCACTACATCCACGCACATTTAAGCAACCCAGTTTTATAAAGTTTTTCTTCTTCTCTTTTTTAGTAATTGTATACAGGAGAAGGGGTTACTAGCCCATTGCTCCCGGCATTTTAGTCGCCTCATACGACACGCATGGCTTACGGAGGAAAGATTCTTTTCCACTTCCCCATGGACAATAGAAGAAATAAAAAAGAACAAGAGCTATTTAGAAAAAGGAGAAAAACCTAGATGTATGTATATATATATATGCATGTGCGTGTCTGTGAAGTGTGACCAAAGTGTAAGTAGGAGTAGCAAGATATCCCTGTTATCTTAGCGTGTTTATGAGACAGAAAAAGAAACCAGCAATCCTACCATCATGCAAAACAGTTACAGGTTTTTGTTTCACAGTCATCTGGCAGGACGGTAGTACTTCCCTGGGTGGTTGCTGTCTACCAACCTACTACCATATATATGTATACTATACTGTACAGTTAAATCTCATTCCTATATAAGAGAATGCCATTATGATCAATGTATTATAGTATAATATATATGGTGCAAATTGTGGGACCCATAGCCTCAGAGAAGTGGATAAAAGGGCTTCGAGGAAGAATATTTGGATTTCTTCTTGAAGCCATTTGAATATTCTACTTCCCCTACCACCCCATCTTTTCATTCTTTTTATCAATAGGTATATTTTATTACATAATATGGTACAAAAGATTTAAGAGATACATTATTGATATAAAGATGGCATATACAGTACATGAGGTGTGAGAGTTACATGTCTAGTACCTATATTGTTATGAGTTTGTCACTGATTATAATGTATTATATAATGTATTATTATATTCATGGGGAAGTCCTAAACCTACAGGGGACATACAGATTCATGGGGTTTGGAGAAAATCATATTTGATCCAAGGAAGAGTAGCTCAAAAGACCTTGTGTCAAGAGCCCTTCACCATGATGAAGGAACTACATTTGAAAGAACAGAAGGCAAATCTGACAGAAATCCATTTGCTTCAAAGAAAGAAAAAAAAATTTAACCCATCAATGAAAGGATCTTGATCCAAGGATCTGGACTACTCTTCTGTTGCTTGGCTCAAGTGGTAGCACCTTCAGTTCACATCTAAAGGGCTTAGGTTCAATCACAGCACAAATGGAAACACTGGTCCATACACCTGCTGGTCTTGGTCACCTAACAGTAAGTATGTATCTGTGTGTTAGTTGACTGTGTGGGCTGCATCCTGGAGAAGCTCAAAACCCCAATGGAGATAAGAAAGACACTGAGGTTTTTTCAGGATTATCCTGGGTAATTAATACCAGTAAAATCTCCAACCCATTGCCCTGGCATTATATCAACCTTACAAGTTTAGTGCTTCCTCATAAGTAAGTTTATTTAGGTACAGGTACACATAAGTACATTATTATTATTATAATCAAGGGGGAAGTGCTAAACCCATAGGATTATACAGAGCCTGTGGGGGTGTGTGGAAGGTATTCATGTTTAATTCAGGGAACTGGAGCACAGATTCAGTTCCCTGAATCAAGAGCCCCTCACCAGCATCAAAGAACTTTCCTTGAGGGGACACATAAGTACAATTATTATACCTAGTAACATACATGTATGTGTAAATTACCTAGAATAACCCCCAAAAAAAAGTCAAGAATGATTTATTTCCACTGAGGCCCTTATTTCCATGATATTCATCATTATAACAACATTACATCCATATAACCTCACCAAACCACACTGACTTTTTTATTATTATAATCATAACCGAGTGCTAAACCCATAAGGGCCATACAGCACTGATAACATATGTGTAAATTACAATACAATATACAATACAATAAAAATTTTATTTCTTTCCAAGTTTATATTGAGATTCTTTAGTTACAATCATGAGTTGCAGTGCAAAGAGAGCCACTATCATGCCACGGCATTATGGGCAGACTAATGTCTTACAATATACTTAATACTAGAGAAATTGATCATAGTTTGTTTAAGTTGTTCATCTGTTTATTTAAAGCAGACAATAAGTTAACTCAAGTTACAGTCTGGGGATATTACACTGGGACAATTTGAAAGTATTTTGTAGGTTGTGTAAATCAATAGTAAATACTGTATTTAAGTTATATTACTGGAATATAATATTGAACATCTGTGAAAGTAGTTTACAGTGTGAGAATGTTACAATATGGTGTCAGGTAGTATAGTTTTGTGTAGGTATTTATACTACAGTGTAGTAAATTAAGTTATGCATGAACTTTGGGTATTTAAATTTTTAAGTGTTAGGATTTAGGTAATTGGGAGATCTTAATTTAAGTAATGAGTATTGAGTATTTAATTCAGGGTGAGTAGATGGTTTTTGAGAAGAGTCTTAAAGTGATGTTCAGACTTTAGTATTTACTGGTAATGAGTTCCAAATTTTGGGGCCCTTTATGTGCATAGTTCTTACATAGTGTGATGTGGACACGGGATACATCAAAAAGTGATCTGTGTCTTGTGTTATGGTTGTCCGTCCATTTAAGGTTGTTAGTTAGTTTAATATGTTTATTATGCACCCCATACCCATCCTGTGGGCGGTAGGAGAAGTTTGAGTGAAGGGTTTATGTTCGAGTGTAGTGTTCTATGTATGTAGTAGGTGCAAGAATAAGTATGGATGTTCTTTACAGAGAGTAGTTTTAGACTTCTGAATGTTGGTGGAGTATACTTAGGATAACCCCTCCCCCCAAACTAAACAAAAAGGTCAATGTAACTTAAGTGGACCTGAACTTAAAATAAACACACACATTGCTGGCAAAAAAAACAATAGATATTATCACTTATAATAAGTTTAAAAATGTATATTACAAGTATTGCAAATGATACAGTACACCAATATTATTATTAATGCACATTTCATGAGTGATAAACCCAGAGGGGCTATACAGTGCCTGGGGAGTGAAATGCAATTAGGTTTAATCCAAGGAAGGGGAGAACATGCCCAATTCCCTGGATCAAGAGCTTACCAGCATTAAGAAACTTCCCTTCAAAATCCTTGGATCAAGAGCTCACCAGCATCAAAGAACTTCCCTTCAGAAGCCTTGGATCAAGAGCTTACCAGCATTAAGAAACTTCCCTTCAAAATCCTTGGATCAAGAGCTCACCAGCATCAAGAAACTTCTCTTCAGAAGCCTTGGATCAAGAGCTCACCAGCATCAAGGAACTTCCCTTCAGAAGCCTTGGATCAAGAGCTCACCAGCATCAAGAAACTCCTCTTCAGAAGCCTTGGATCAAGAGCTCACCAGCATCAAGGAACTTCCCTTCAGAAGCCTTGGATCAAGAGCTCACCAGCATCAAGAAACTTCTCTTCAGAAGCCTTGGATCAAGAGCTCACCAGCATCAAGGAACTTTCCTTCAGAAGCCTTGGATCAAGAGCTCACCAGCATCAGTCGTTCTCCTTAGATCGTAGAAAAAATAATTAACATATAACAGAAACTTACCATACTACCGTCCAACTTTTCAGGTCCTTGTGGAGTTTCTTTTAACAGATGTAGGCGGAATTAAAGTTAAAATTTTTCTTTAAAATTGATCCAGTTTGGAATTTTTTGGTCCATATAATACCCTTTGTGTGTCGGTGACCGGCTGCGGCGTTACCCTCAGAACCGTGAACTCATGGGGAGAGGGGACGCGTTAAACCCGTAGGGGACATACAGCCAGTGGTAATGGAATGGAAACAATCAGATAGATCTAAGTTAAGGAAGGATTGATAGAATATCTTGTATCTAGCTTCCCTCCCCGGCATCAAGACTCTAGCAATAATTATGTTGCCGGTAGACGAGGACAAGCGTCCAATTAATTAAAAGAAAATTTGCAATAGATGCTCAGGGCAGAATCATACTTCCATACATCACTAAAGTCGTCCTGGGTTAAGTACTTGTTAAATTAAAATTCTTCTTCTGGTTGGGTTTGTTAAAGCCACTGACGGTGTACGTCGTATCGAGCTCTGCTTCCCAATACACGGAGGAGATATTGGCCAAATCTGGACGATAAAAAAAATGAAAACAAGAGTCCTTTTGGAACAATAAACAGAAATTAGAAGTTTCCAAGTAAACCAGGTGGATTTTTTTTCTTCACCAAGCCTCAGCAGAACAGGGCGCCTACACTTTCGCCCGAGTTCAGGAACCGGCTTCCCACCAAAACCGTTGACCAATAATATCCGCAGAGCGGAATAATAGAGCTGATGAATGTCACTCTTGTAAAGTGCTCAGAAGACAGAATAAGTTGACGACAAGCGTCCCAGACAAAGAAGGGAAAAACTGGTCACTGATGCTCAGGCGAGAGAGAGACGTCCACACCTGACGAAGGCTGGTGCAGTCCTATAATAGTTCCTCCTCTTCCAGTTGTTGGGGGTTTAAAGAGCCACTGACACCTTACACCGTATCGAACCCTACTTTATATTAGTTGTGTCGCCTGAATGGCTAATTTATTGTACACCGCAACTCAGCCTGTGAACGGCAGCGCAAAAACACAGGATTACGGAGATCACAAGGGTCTGTATAATCCTCCGGGTTTAGCGCTTCCCCCTTGATTATAATAATAATAAATGTACTAGACCCCACTGGGCATTATTGCAAAACAAAAATAATGTATTACAGCAATTTCATATAATACAATTTCTTTATATAGCCAATAAACACAATACATATGGTTTAACATCTTTGTTATGCACCCTATATACCCAGCCTGTGGGTGGTAGTCAAAGGATTACAGAGGTACAAAATGGGTCATAAGATAAGATAGATAAGATTTCTTTCGGATTTTTAACCCCGGAGGGTTAGCCACCCAGGATAACCCAAGAAAGTCTGTGCGTCATCGAGGACTGTCTAACTTATTTCCATTGGGGTCCTTAATCTTGTCCCCCAGGATGCAACCCACACCAGTCGACTAACACCCAGGTACCTATTTGCTGCTAGGTGAACAGGACAACAGGTGTAAGGAAACGTGTCGAAATGTTTCCACCCGCCGGGAATCGAACCCGGGCCCTCCGTGTGTGAAGCGGGAGCTTTAGCCACCAGGCCACCGGCCAGCATATCGGCATAGTGACAATTATGAAAAGCTGTGTGGAGGGTAATTCTGTTGTTTCCAAACATGATACAGTTCATGTTGACCAAACACTCTTATCTATGTGGCTGTTAGTTGAATACATCTTACTTCATATCAAAAACAATATACTCAGATCACAACATAATTGAGGTTCAGTCATGTATGCGCGGAGCCCCAGACCGACATAATGAGACTAGTCACGAGGGAGCATTCACCAAATTCAACTTCAATAACAAAAACATAAAGTGGGACCAAGTAAACCAAGTCCTAACCGATATAAGCTGGGAAGATATACTAAGCAACACAGACCCCAACTTATGCCTAGAACAGATTAACTCGGTGGCACTCGATGTATGCACAAGGCTTATTCCTCTAAGAAAAAGGAGGAGTAGATGTAAAACAGAAAGAGACAGGCGCTCCCTTTACAGGCGACGGAAAAGAATAACAGAGTGGCTAAAAGAGGTCAATATATCTGAAATGCGTAGGGAGACACTGGTCAGAGAAATAGCAAGCATCGAACTTAAGCTAAAAGAATCCTTTAGGAGTCAGGAATCGCGGGAAGAACTAAAAGCCATAAATGAAATCGAAAGAAACCCAAAGTATTTCTTCTCCTATGCCAAATCAAAATCGAGAACAACGTCCAGTATTGGGCCCCTACTTAAACAAGATGGGTCCTACACAGATGACAGCAAGGAAATGAGTGAGCTACTCAAGTCCCAATATGACTCAGTTTTTAGCAAGCCGCTAACCAGACTGAGAGTCGAAGATCAAAATGAATTTTTTATGAGAGAGCCACAAAATTTGATTAACACAAGCCTATCCGATGTTATCCTGACGCCAAATGACTTCGAACAGGCGATAAATGACATGCCCATGCACTCTGCCCCAGGGCCAGACTCATTGAACTCTGTGTTCATCAAGAACTGCAAGAAGCCCCTATCACGAGCCTTTTCCATCCTATGGAGAGGGAGCATGGACACGGGGGTCGTCCCACAGTTACTAAAAACAACAGACATAGCCCTACTCCACAAAGGGGGCAGTAAAGCAACAGCAAAGAACTACAGACCAATAGCACTAACATCCCATATCATAAAAATCTTTGAAAGGGTCCTAAGAAGCAAGATCACCACCCATCTAGAAACCCATCAGTTACACAACCCAGGGCAACATGGGTTTAGAACAGGTCGCTCCTGTCTGTCTCAACTATTGGATCACTACGACAAGGTCCTAAATGCACTAGAAGACAAAAAGAATGCAGATGTAATATATACAGACTTTGCAAAAGCCTTCGACAAGTGTGACCATGGCGTAATAGCGCACAAAATGCGTGCTAAAGGAATAACAGGAAAAGTCGGTCGATGGATCTATAATTTCCTCTCTAACAGAACACAGAGAGTAGTCGTCAACAGAGTAAAGTCCGAGGCAGCTACGGTGAAAAGCTCTGTTCCACAAGGCACAGTACTCGCTCCCATCTTGTTCCTCATCCTCATATCCGACATAGACAAGGATGTCAGCCACAGCACCGTGTCTTCCTTTGCAGATGACACCCGAATCTGCATGACAGTGTCTTCCATTGCAGACACTGCAAAGCTCCAGGCGGACATCAACCAAATCTTTCAGTGGGCTGCAGAAAACAATATGAAGTTCAACGATGAGAAATTTCAATTACTCAGATATGGTAAACATGAGGAAATTAAATCTTCATCAGAGTACAAAACAAATTCTGGCCACAAAATAGAGCGAAACACCAACGTCAAAGACCTGGGAGTGATCATGTCGGAGGATCTCACCTTCAAGGACCATAACATTGTATCAATCGCATCTGCTAGAAAAATGACAGGATGGATAAGGAGAACCTTCAAAACTAGGGAGGCCAAGCCCATGATGACACTCTTCAGGTCACTTGTTCTATCTAGGCTGGAATATTGCTGCACACTAACAGCACCTTTCAAGGCAGGTGAAATTGCCGACCTAGAAAATGTACAGAGAACTTTCACGGCGCGCATAACGGAGATAAAACACCTCAATTATTGGGAGCGCTTGAGGTTCCTAAACCTGTATTCCCTGGAACGCAGGAGGGAGAGATACATGATTATATACACCTGGAAAATCCTAGAGGGACTAGTACCGAACTTGCACACGAAAATCACTCACTACGAAAGCAAAAGACTTGGCAGACGATGCACCATCCCCCAATGAAAAGCAGGGGTGTCACTAGCACGTTAAGAGACCATACAATAAGTGTCAGGGGCCCGAGACTGTTCAACTGCCTCCCAGCACACATAAGGGGGATTACCAACAGACCCCTGGCAGTCTTCAAGCTGGCACTGGACAAGCACCTAAAGTCAGTTCCGGATCAGCCGGGCTGTGGCTCGTACGTTGGTTTGCGTGCAGCCAGCAGCAACAGCCTGGTTGATCAGGCTCTGATCCACCAGGAGGCCTGGTCACAGACCGGGCCGCGGGGGCGTTGACCCCCGGAACTCTCTCCAGGTAAACTCCAGGTAAACTTGTTCCATGAATTATATATATATATACTAGCATGTCTCTAGATTATTATTATAATCAAAAAAGAAGCGCTAAGCCACAAGGACTATACAGCGCTGCAGGGCAGGAAGGAAGCGAGGGCATCAGGTGGCAAAAGGGAGATGGATGAGTAATAGGTTATGGATAACAGCGGGGTAGTGGATGGTGAAAGGGTAAAGGGCAGCAAGAGACTGAACTAGAAAGGGCTGAGGGAGCATGTCTCTAGAGACAACATATTTTTGTCACCAGGCAGTAGTTTGTTCTGTTATGACGTTATTGACACGTATTCTATCAGCAACACTTAGTATACCCAATTATTTCCTCATATTAAGTATTTTGGCAGTTATAGGACAGCCAAATAATTCTCAGGGGCTTCATTTTGTATTTTGTGAAGTCTCTCAGTATTGTAGAGTGTTGCAGGACTAAAACTGGTTCATGGTAATGTATAAGTCATGTTATATACGCTCGGTACATAATGGCTGTGCACCCAGGTAAATTATGTCTATATCTTGTTTTAGCCAGATTCTTCAAGAATAATGAAGCCCTTGTGGCTTAGCGCTTCCTTTTGATTATATTAATAATAATAATAATAACTCAAGAATAATGAGACTTGGGAGTGCATTTTGTGACTCTGGGAGAGCACTGATGTCATCCTAGTGTTTACTTAGGGATCTGGTAGTTTACCTGGAGTTTACCTGGAGAGAGTTCCGGGGGTCAACGCCCCCGCGGCCCGGTCTGTGACCAGGCCTCCTGGTGGATCAGAGCCTGATCAACCAGGCTGTTGCTGCTGGCTGCACGCAAACCAACGTACGAGCCACAGCCCGGCTGATCCGGAACTGACTTTAGGTGCTTGTCCAGTGCCAGCTTGAAGACTGCCAGGGGTCTGTTGGTAATCCCCCTTATGTGTGCTGGGAGGCAGTTGAACAGTCTCAGGCCCCTGACACTTATTGTATGGTCTCTTAACGTAGTATTGTTACATACTGAGGTGTTCTTGTTGTTCCTGATGATAGTTTTGGTGGCTAGCTGTATAATATTTTGTCTTGGTCTGGTGTATACCTGGAGAGAGTTCCGGGGGTCAGTGCCCCCGCGGCCCGGTCTGTGACCAGGCCTCATGGTGGATCAGGGCCTGATCAACCAGGCTGTTACTGCTGGCCGCACGCAATCCAACGTACGAACCACAGCCCGGCTGGTCTACAATAGATTAATATAGAGATGAGCGAGGAGAGTTAGTTCAGGTTGTATGATAAGTCATGTTCTCTAGTGTAGCGATAAAGAATTTTTGACAAGACTTAGAATTATATACTGTTATGTCCTAATAATAATAATGGTAATTATATAATAACTAAAAGATGATAATAATTGCAAGAAAAATGAATGCAGGATTAGTAAAAATTTAATAATTATATAGTAGTAATATTTTATGGGATAATTTACAAAATAGTACAAGATGATATACAAAGATCAGGGTAATATAGATATAATTAAACTGAAGAATTACAGTTATAGAAGTACAGTTATAGAGGCCAGAACGTTGTGTTGCTTTAAAAATAGATTGGATAAATACATGAGTGGATGTGGGTGGGTGTGAGTTGGACCTGACTAGCTTGTGCTACCAGGTCGGTTGCCGTGTTCCTCCCTTAATTTTCCTCAATAGTCTCTGATGTGGGACCCTGTCAAAAGCCTTACTGAAGTCCATGTACACAATATCATATTCATTACCATGATCTACCTCCTCAAATACCTTAGTGAAAAAAGTTAATAAATTCGTAAGGCAGGAACGCCCCTTTGTAAAACCATGCTGAGATTCGTTGATTAAT